TGGCTGCTGGCTACACACATGGTAGCCCATAGCAACCCACTGCAGCAGGGGCTATAACCTACGTCATCACTGGCGACTCACAGCAGTCCAGCTCCAGGTTGAGCTGTTGTTCAGCATCTTAGCTGTAGAGAGCAGTGTCACTGGCTCTCATATGTGGGATCCGAACCGGGGTCCTCTGGCGTCCCAAGCCAGCTCTTAACCAATGCGCCACTCGGCCGGCCCAGAGGTTGTACTCTTGAGCAAGCTCTGAACCAACTGAGCCACTAAACCAGCCCGTAAATTTCATTATTATTTTACTCAGCTCTTAATAATCCATGATAAAGCACACATGTAATTTAAAATTTTCATATTATTTCGACCTCATTCATTCAAAATAAGTCTCCTTTTCTTGCTATGTCACAGGAGCCATTTTCTCTTGCTGTTTCTACTATTTTTATTCTTCCTTCTGAAAACAGAATAATTTTTTTTTTTAGGATTTTGCAGGATCGGGGTCTTTCCAAATATCCCAATCTGTTAAATCAATTACTTGATTTACAACCAAGTCACAGTTCTCCCTACCTAATTGCCTTTCTTGTGGATATCTATGAAGATATGCTGGAAAACCAGTGTGACGACAAGGAGGACATTCTTAATAAGGCATTGGAGGTAAGCTGGTAGAACTCGGTGCTTTTCTATTGGAGATCTCAGAATTGGGTCTGCTCAGTGCCACTAATATTCATGCCCTTTTCAACTCAGGTTACTCAGAATTCAATGCAGGACTATTTCTGCTGTTTAGGGCAACACCCATGTCACTAGTAAACACGGTATATGACTTTAGTGATGTATCTCATTTGAAAATGATCTGAGTTAAACTATTAGCTCAAAAGCATTTGCCCTAGAGATGAATTATAGATTTCCTTTAATGAGTTTTTGTTTTTCATTTTTAGTTATGTGAAATCCTAGCTAAAGAAAAGGACACTATAAGAAAGGAATATTGGAGATATATTGGAAGATCCCTTCAAAGCAAACACAGCACAGAAAGTGACCCACCAACCAGTGTACAGCAATGACACCATCTAGAAGAACTTGGTGTGCTTTTATTTTTTTAAGAGACTCTAATATAGGAGTTTAAAACTAGAGCGATCATTCCCTTTGCCTGTGGTGTAAAACGTGCATTGCACAGGTATTGCTTTTTAACTAGAACTAAGTACGATGCTCCTTGGGTGCTGCTGCTATTCAGTCTAGCTCTATTGTTTTAAAGCAAAGTAATTTGGGGGGAGGGAGAAGAAACAGAAAATCCCATAAGGGAACTTTTGTAGCCTTATCAACATTTACTCTAATCCCTTAGCATCAACTCCTCCCCAAATGGTATATGCATCAGGATTTGCAGCATTCATGATTGCAGGTAACTTGTATGTAATGGATATGAGGTAACTTAAATTTCAGTTCAGGAAGCAGGGAATGCAATTGTTACATTAGAGCTGCTATGCCACACTCACAGTATCTTGCTATCACTGTAACCAACTAATGCCAAAAGAATGGTTTTGTAATAAAATTATAGATGTATCCTAAAACAATGCCATAGTAGTTTTTTGCTTTTTTTTAAGTAGCATTTAACTATATACAAGGGACATTATCTTAGCTTAGAAAAGCAATTGAGGAAGAAAATATTGCTATAAAACTATAGAAACTAGAAACATGATTATGTTAAAGGAAATGTCATTAAAATTTGAATAAGTCATCAGGTCTTAACTATATGTAACAGAATCTACTAGAGGTAGTTTAAGGTATATAGATAGCTCACATAATAATTGCCTAACCTTTCAGAAATACATCCCAAAGCCACACTACAGAACTGGACCATCACGTTGTTGTTGCCTGTGCTGGGATCAGGAAACTGCTGGATGAGGCGACCAGCTCCAGGACTGTCTACCTCTGCCACATTTCACGGGAGCTTATCTCCCCTTCTCATGTAATGCAGCTCCAAATTAAAGGCTCACTTTAGTGCATCTCATTGGAAAGAACCTAAATGAAATCTAAAACTCTTTACCTGCCAAGGAATTTGGGAAATGTAGTGTATAGCTTTCCATCCTCTGCATTTCAGGAAGAGAGGAAGGAGTTGAAATGTTAAACAAGCTACTCTACCTTCACATAATTAAATCTCACTTTATCAATAAAAAATTTTTGTTCAATGTTCAAAGCACCAAACTACAACTAAAGAAATTATATAGAGTAGAATAGTCATGTCAAGAATTCAGTAAATAACAATATTTTAATATTTTAATTCAAATTTCCTGGAGAAAATAGGGCGTATTATTTTTAACATTTTCCATGTTAGTTTTTTTGTTTTTAGACTCCAAAAATCTCATATTTGAAATTGCCATAAAGTGTCACCCCTATGTAGACTTTCATAAGTGTCATAAGGAACAGAAACAATACAGAGAAATTTTCGTAAGATAGCATTTACTCTCAGAAACTGTTTCATCACTGTGCCAAACTTGATTGGATTCAGGGCTGCTGAATCTCAATAAATCTCACAGAGACTGTTTAATAAAAAGCCTAATGGCAGTTTACTAATTTACATTCAGAACTGTAACCGAAGCAGACCAAACAGTTACATCAGCCTAGCCACTTGGCATTTTTTGCCTGAAGTTTAATAAGGTGTCAATGCTTTTATCAAAAGGTTGCTTAGTGAGCATGGAATCAGGTGAGGAGGCTCCATGGTTTAAATGTACAAGTATAATGATTTTAGGCTCAGATACTGCTAACGAGGGCCATCTATCGCCTAATGGGCAACTGGATACATAGACCCAGCAGTGCCCTTCTTTCATTGGCCCTACAGTTAAAAGTCATCTTTAGAGGGGTCTGCTAGTACGAAATTATTTGCCTAATAGCAGTATCACTGTGTTGCTATTTGTATATTTGGTGCAAAAGCAATGGTGGGTAAAACTGCTGGTGCCTTAGCACTAATCAAGGCAGTGGTACTTAGTCGTCGTATTCTGCACTGCCATGCATTCACTGAAGAATGTCCTCGGTGAATCAGTAATTATATTCACAATACTCTGTCTTTTCAATATTTTGTGTGACTGAATGGAAGTATGTAGAAAGCATATCTTTCTGGTTGTCTTGAAGAAAAGCATTTGTGCTATATGTAAGTTGTGGGCTGAACAGGCTGCTTTTCATCAAACGCCATTTACTTGAACGAATAACTAATAAACTAATTCATACTTGGATGGCTGGCATGCATTTTCTCAAAAACGAAGTTTGTCACTTCAAGGAAAACAACTGAGCATTTTGCCAATGATAAAATTTGAGCTTTCAAGTGAAATTTTACCATGGTAAGTAAGCTTGACAGCTTCCTAATACCTAGAGACCTTTCTAATGAAATCAAAGTGATATTAATAAATGCCATTTTTATATTGTATAACTAAACATATCAACAATTGGGAGATTTGCATAACTCAATAAATCGATATTTTCCAAATGACCTATCTATGAAATTAATATGCACCATTAAACAACCCAAATTACAAGGTGTAACAGTACAAAAAGTGCATTGATAAGTTTGCAGATTCCACACTGCAACTAACCTTTGAGAAACTACCACTTGTCAAATTTGGATGTAGTATCAAAGAATATCCACAACTTCTGAAAAGGCTATTAAAATAATTCCCTTTCCAACTATATATCCATGTATATGAGTCTACGTTTTCTAAATATACTTCCACCGAAACACCATATTGCAACAAATTGAATGCTGAAGTATAGAATCTAGATATCTATTAAGTCAGACTAAAGAGATTTGCAAAAATGTGAAACAATGCCATTTTTCTTTTATAATTTGGAAAAATTACTCATAGAAGATGTTTGTTAACATGTAATGGATTTATTGCTTTATAATTGAATTAATAACATTAAAAAATTTTAAATATGGTAAATAGCAATAGATACTACCCACATAAAAGCTGGAGTTAGAAAAGAGTAGGACAGCACCATCTCTACCCTCAGGGACCTCAATTTTGAGACCAATAGTATGCTACTCGCCTCAGTACCTTGAAAATGTTTATTGGCAATTTGAAGAAATAGCGTGTTTCCCCGAATATAAGGCCAGGTCTTAATTTTTGCTCCAACAATCTACATTTATTCATGTACAAAAATCTACATTTATTCAGTCATGTCTGGCTGATGATCTTAATTGGGGCTTATGTTTGGGGTAGGGCTTATATTACAAGCATCCTGAAAAATCATGCTAGGGCTTATTTTCCAATTAGGTCTTATTTTCGGTGAAACACGGTACTATTTGGGAACACAGAAGCAGGAGGGATTTTCTGCCTGATGGAGTCAAGAAGTGTTCACAAAGGATGCATTTGATTACTTAACATCCTTTTGTGAAGGCTTATACTCAATTTTATTGTTGATTATATCCTAAACATTAACTTATAAATGAACAAGAGAGTCCAGAACATTTCCCTCTGGAGGTTATGTTACAAAAATCAATGTTTTTCAAACTGGGTTGTAACACACTCATGGGCAGTTACATCAACTCAGTGGGTCTCAGCCAGCATCTCTTATTGAGGTGAAATATGCATAGCATAAAATTTACCATTTTAGCTGGTTTTTTTTTATCATTTTAGCTATTCTAAGTGGCATTATGTACATTCACATTGTTATGCGACCATCACCACCATCCATTTCTTGAACTTTTTCATCTTCTCCAACTGAAATTCTGTACCCATTACATAGATCATTATTAAAGGTTGCATGGATATAATTCCTTTCAGAAAGTCCTACTGTTCAACATTTAAGGTTTTTTTCCCCTTCTATAAACATCCTTTATCAACTATTCCTCCCTAAGATCTCTTGCACATACATGTTGCACATGTATTCAGTTATTTCCACATGGTAAATTCCTTGAAAGGGGTTTGTTAAGTCTTTATACACAGGAGGAATTGGTACAGGTTATACAAATTCACACTCACGTATGTGTGTGGGAAAACGTTTAGATTCTGTGCATCAACAGTAGGCATTACCATTCTTTACGCTATTTGCCAATTTGATAGAGAAGTAGCTTCTAGTTATTTTTCATTTTCAGTGTTTGTATTACCAGTTAAAACTCGCTTTTTAATGCACGGCGTGTTATTCTCTTGATTCTAAACTTAGAAAATGTGTCAGTGTATAAGTACAAAACACTTCTGATTTAAACAAAGAGCTATAGAATCCTATGCTAGATTTTCAATGTCTCAGTCTTTCCCCCCTCATTTCCACCAGGTACAAATACCTGTGTGACGCGTTGAGCCTTCCAGCTTCCCTACCCTTTTCCAGATAGTGCTCCTCCTTTAGGGCCCTTGAATGAGGGAAGCTTAGCTTTCCTGCTCTGGGCCTAGCTGAGTTTCCCTTCCACTAGTGGTTCTCAACCTTCAGGGCATCAGCATCGCCCAGAGGCCTGGTTAAAGCACTGATTGCTGGACCCTATGCCCCCAAGTCTGGGATGGAGCCGAGAATGTGCACATCTAACAATTTCCCCAGGGATATGAAGTATCCGCATCTGATCTGAGGACCACTCTTTGGAAACCACCGCTTTGCACTGACTGGGAGCTTTATGAAGGGTCTAGGTGTTACAACTCCTCTCCACCATACCCAGCTCCAGCCTGGGCGTCCGGACTAAACCAATGATAGGTCAATACATCATCATGCTCACACGCTCGGAAAGAAGTCAGAATAGGAGACTGACCCATCCGTGCCCCTGGGTTAGAACCCGGGAGGCGCTCAAGCTCCGGCTTTGCGCTGCAGCGTCGGGACTCCAGGGACGCGCGGGAGGCGGCCACCAGGGGGCAGCCTCGCGCTCGCCCCGCCGGGTCTCGTTTCCGGCCGCGCAGACGCAGAAGGCAACGTGCCGGGCCGCGGGCCGCAGGTAGGCGCGGCGGGCCGGGGCGGGGACAGGAGTATGGCAAGGGAAGAAGTGGGGGGCACGCAGTGGGCGAGGAACGAGGGGCTGCGGGGCGGGCGGGCGGGCGCGGAAGGCAGCTGGGCTTCCTGCCGGGCCTGCCCCTGGCCAGGTCCGCGCCCCCAAGCCCAGGTAGCTGTGCCGCGCCTGTTGGACGGCTCGCCCCGAGTCCAGCCGGAGGCCGCGCTGGCCGGGAGCAGCCAGCGTCCACCCGCCTCTCCGTTCCCCGCGTCCTGCCCCGCGCAGGAGCTGGACTCTAAATGACCGGCACTCCGCGGGTGTCAGGCTTCAGCTCCATCTTCCTAGCGTTGATTCTGCAAGCGAACCTTCATGCCAGCACTGCTAGCTTCCTCGAAGTGCAAGCTCAGTGTTAGGTGAAAACGTATGCAGCTCATTTTTAAAAAGCAGATGTAACCATTTTATGTAGTAGTCTTGTCTTCTCCATCCTTTACCTTTTTATAGAACTTTAAGGCTAAGTCAGCATTGGAATATTTAAAATAATTATTTTAATGTACCTTGCGCTTTATTGACAAAATGGGATTCTATTCTAAATTCTATTGGGTGACACGAATACGTTTCTTCTCAGGTTATATAAAATATTTTATAAATTGGTAAAAAAACCATTCTATTCCATTGCTGCTGCTATTATTATTATTATTATTATTATTATTATTATTATTATTATTATTTAATTAAGCTGTGAGTGTAGAGCAGTGGTTCCCACTTTTTTCCCGGTTTACCAGCTTTTTCCTATCAATGTCAGGATTCCTTTGTGTCTCAGCAGTGCCTGAATTTCTCCTACTCAACTAGCTCCACAATCGTTCTTCTTTAACTTACCAGGTATTTTTCAGAACCAGTAACTTTAAGTGTCTTTTTGCTTATTTCTGGGCAAGAAATTTTCTTCAGCCGCATGGCTTTATCCCAAGTTCTGGGCAGCCTACTCCAGAAAAATGCCTTTAAAAGAAAAAAGCCCATCAGATGTTGAGGTGGGCTAAAACATTCTTTAAGAAGTGGGCTGATGTTGTGAAAATAAACGCATGCATGAGAATTATATGCACCAGTGATTCTCAAGCTTTAGTATACTTCTCAATCACCAGACAGGATTGTCAGAACACAGGTTTCTGGGCCCCACCTCAGTTTCTGGTTCAGTAAGTCTATAGTGAGTACTCAAAAACTTGCATTTCTCTGGCCAGTCGAGTGGCTCAGTTGGTTAAGAGCTTGCTCAAGAGTTTGAGCTCTGAGCAACAGCGGTTCGATTCCCAGCCCAAGCTGAGCTGCCGCTGAGCTGCCAACAGCAGGATGGCTCAGCTCAAAACAAAACAAAACAAAAAAAACTTGCATTTCTCACAAGTTCCCAGGTGATGCTACTGCTGCAGGTCCAGGAACCACAGGGTGAGAATTACTGACACACACCCATTTGTCAGTGGTGATTGCTTCTTGGAAGGAGCAATACAGGACTGAGAGGGGTCCAAAGGGGCTTCAACTATATGTTATATTTTGTTTCTTTAAAAAAGGTCTTAAAAAATGTAATGCAATGTTACCTGACAAAGCTGAATGGATGGTCATGATCTTATTTTTTAGCTTTCTCTGTGCTTGAAACATTTCAGGAAAGAGAAAAAAACCCCGTTTGCTGTGTGGAGAATGGATTGGGAAAGAGAAAGAAGACCACGTAGGAAACTGTTGCAGAAGCCCAGGTAAGAGATGCTGGTGGCTCAGACCTGGGCAGTGCCAAAAAAAGGGGAGACATGAACAAATGGAGAGAGATTTGGGTGATTGACAGTACATGGTGATTGGTTGGTTTAGAGATTAGGGGAGGGAGGAATCAAGTCACCTATTTTGTGACTTATTCGTGAGTGGGTGGGTTGTGTACCTTGACACAGAGAGGGAACCCTGGAGAAGGGCATGCTCAGGATAGGAGAGCCACGTCCCAGACCTTGAAGAGCCAGAGGAGTGAAGCATGGGAGAAAGATCTGGGCCACAGCAGAGACTTGGCAATCAGTGTTTACATGGCCATGAGAACCATGTTTGTGGATGAGATTACATAGAGGGAGTGCATGGAACGGAAATGTGACCTGCAACAGACCCAGAGGAATATCATCACCTATGGCAGGGCTTGGCCAGCTACTGCCCACCGTGGCCTGTGAGCTAAGAATGCTTTTTACCTTTTGAAATGTTGGCAGAGGGGTGGCGGGGTGGGGGATGTAGGGGGGGAAAATCAAAAGAAGAACATCTTTTATGACACATGAAAACTACATCAAATTCAAATTTCATTGTCCATAAATAAAGTTGTATTAGAATAAAGCTGTGCTCATTTGTTTATGTAGTGTTTGGGGCTGCTTTCGCATTCTGGCGACAGAGTTGAGTAACTGTGACGGAGACGGTACATAGCCTGTCATCGCTTTGCACTGCTGCTTGGTGTACCATGAGGCACAGTGTGGTAGTTAATTTCAACTTCTGCACCCTAAACCTCAATAATTACTATCTGGCCTTTTACAGAGAAAAGTTTGCTGGTCCTTGACCTCAGGTCTAAGGGACACATGTTTTGTTACTTTAAATGTTGTAGAAGAGAGATGGCACTTGTTTATCCATTTCCTTGAGAGCACCTTCTAAAGATCAGGTACTAGTGGAAGAAACTCAAGAGACTGTGAGGCCTGAGTGGTAAAATTCACCATACTTCAGCCTAAGTCCCTGAAGATGACAGAATGGGCCACAGAGAAAGATGCGAGCCTGGAATATAATTCACATACTATAAAATTTGCTATTTTTTTTAAGCTGTTGTTCAGCATCTTAGCTGCAGAGGGCAGTGTCACTGGCCCTCACATGTGGGATCCGAACCGGGGCCCTCCGGCATCCCAAGCGAGCCCCCAAACATCGCGCCACTCGGCCGGCCCCTAAAATTTGCTATTTTAAAGTGTAGAGTTAAGTGATTTTTAGTATACTCACAACCATTACTACAAATTCCTGAACATTTTCATCCAGAAAGAAATCCTGTCCCCATTAGCAGCCACTCCGCATTTCCCGTTTCCCCCAGCCCCTGGTAACCACTCATCTACTTTGTGTCTCTGGATTTGCCTGTTCTGGACATTTCCTATAAAGGAATCACATGCTGTGTGGCCTTTTGTGTATAAACATTTGGATTATTTTCACTCTTTGGCTATTATGAACATAACACTGCTGTGAACATTCATGTACAAGTGATTATATGAATATATGTTTTTTTGGATATACACCTAGCATTGGATTTGCTCGGTGATATGCTAACTTTTTGTTTAAAGTTTTAAGGAACTGCCAGACTGTTTTCCACAGTGGCTGCACCAATTTGCATTCTAACCAACAATGCATGAGGGTTCCTATTTCTCCACGTTCTCATCAATACTTGTTGTTGTCTGACTTTTTTATTACAGCCACCCTAGCAGTTGTGAAGTGGGATCTTGTGGTTTTCATTTCCATTTTTCTTTCTTTTTTTTTTTTTAAGATTTTATTGGGGAATTGGGGAAGGGGAACAGACAAGTTGCTGTCCTTTTGTTCTTCAGTCTAGTTGTGGAGGACGTCGCTTCACTGGCCCATGTTGGTATTATCATTGCGCTCTTCCCAGGTGAGGCAGTGGCTCGCTGGCCATTGGACAGCTGCTCACAGTGGCTCACGGCAGCTCACGGCAGCTCATGCCGGCTGCCGGCCACTCACAGTAGCTCACAGCAGCCCACTGCAGCCCCACTGCAGCTATGCCATCACCAGTGACTCATGGCAGCCCAGCTCCAGGTTGAGCTGTTGTTCACCATCTTAGCTGTAGAGGGTGCAGCGTCACTGGCCCATGTGGGATCCGAACTGGCAGCCCTGCTGCTCAGAGCTTATGCTCCCAAGCCAACTCTTAACCAACGTGCCACTTGGCTGGCCCGTCGTTTGCATTTTTTTGATGACTAATAAAGTTGAGCATCTTTTCATGAGCCTATTGGATGTCTGTATGTCTTCTTTGGAGAAATGTTTATTCAAGTCCTTTGCCCATTTTTAAATTGAGTTATTTGTCTTTTTTATTGAGGAACAATATTTTTGAGTTGTCCTTCAGACAGCTAAATAGAGATGTCAGGGAAGCAAGCCTCGAGTTCAGGAGGCTGGACATTTGGGAGCCATTGGCAGGTGGAGGCGGAGAGTCATGAGTCTAGATGGGTTGCCCTGGGAGTGAGTAAAGAGGTCAAATCTGAGCCCGGGGGCAGGCACTCCAGCATGTAGAGTCAAACAGGAGGAGCCGCCAGAGTGCCGTTTCCAGGGAACCAAGTAAAGTGTTAAGAAGGAGAGAGTTATCAGCTATGCCAAATGCTGCTGAGAGGTCAAGACCGGGACTGTGAATTGACTGCTGTGTTTACCAGCGTGGAGGTCACCTTGATAACATCAGTGTGGATGGAGTAGCAGTGAGTTCAAGAAAATGGAGAGAGATGGAGATAGTGAGTATAGATAGTTTTTTAAGGAGTTTGCCAAAAAGAGAAGAGAGAAATAGGGCAATAACTGGAGCAGAAAGTGAAGTGAAGGGCAGGTGTTTGAAATGATGGGGGAAGTTCAGACACACTGGTCGTAATTCAGGAGAAAAGTGGACTCCTGCTGGAGCAGGTGGGGAGGGAGGCATCTGTGCACAGGCCGGGAGCTGGGAACAGGGCCTCCTTATTCATAGTCACACAAGAGAGCAGACACAGGGAGCAGGAGCCTGTGACACGGTGTTGGGGGCTTGTGGAAAATAGGAAACAAGACCATCAGCTGAGAGTGAGGGCAAGGAAGGAGGTGATACACTTTGAAGGGAGGGAAACCTAGGCCATGGAAATGGACCTGTCAGGTTTATTGATCTATTGCAGTGAGTGAGCCTGCACAGCATTGGAACTTCATGTCTCAGAGAAAATGAGAGAATTATTGTAGAATTTGGGGGATAGGTGACATTTAGGCAAAATTGAAACAAAGCAGTATTTTGATGGGCTCAAAACCAAGCAGAGCTGTCTGTAAAGAGGTCAGTATTTGGTCTGGATTGCAAAGTGTCCTGGGAGATTGCATGGTTCACACAGATGCTTGTCGTCTCTAGAACTGCTCATGTGCAGCTCTGTACCAGGCTGGAAACAGAGGCAGCTTCTCTGTGTCAGAGCCACGTAGCTCCGCCAGGCGAGAGCTGGATGCTTCAGTCTCCCTGACAGGACTTTGAGCTGCAGAATTTCTGGCAGCCTGTAACTGAGAGAACCAGGTTTCCGAGTGAGTGAGAAAGCAGTTGTCATTCACAGAACGGGGTTGTTTGACACAACAGCTGCAGTGTGTCCTTAGGAGAAACGCTGTTTCCTGTTAACTTCGCAGACAGCTTGATCATTGTCTGTTGTCCCTTGATGAATGGCAGGTGGATTTCACGTTTTCCAGAGGAAGGTATGAACGAGCTCTCATCTGAATTTTTTTGTGGCTGGTTCCTCTCCGTCTTCCAGCCTCAGCGAGATTGTCACACCCTCAGAGAGGTCTTTCAGGCCTGCTTCACCCAGGGAACTCCCTCCCAGTTATTCTCTATCCTTGCACCCTCATCACAGTATATAATGATAAACTTTTGTTTACCTGTCTATTGTCTGTCTTCCCCATGAGGTTTCCCCTAAGATCCAAGAGGATAGGAACCACACCTGTTTTATTGACTCACAATCCCAGGTGCCTAGAGCAGGATTGGGCAGGTAGCAGCTGCTTAATATGACGTATGTGTTGAATGAATGGCCGGAAGATAGCGATGGAGGTAGAGGAAGCACATTGGGACCAAAGAGAGGCTGGTGAGGACATGAGAGGCTGTGAGTCCAGACAAGCTTCGGTGACGGTGGCTGGGCTGCAGGAGGACTTCCCTGTGGCTGCTACACCATCCTGGGGCCTGAGGGACACCCAGGCACAAGAAGGGCCCCTGGGGAAGAAGGTGGACCATTTGGATTATTGCCATTTGTCTGTATACGGAATTGCAAGTTTTATTTAGCAAACTCCCTCTTTGGTGCTTTATGGCAGAGTACTTTCAAACCAGTGCCCAGGACCAACCAGAACACTCCCTGACCCAGGTGTCTGGATGGAGACCTGAGCTGGTACAAGGAAGACGTACCTGGTAGGTAACGCTTCATGTCACAGGCATCTCAGATGTAAGAAGCACAGGGTCAGTTCTGTCACTAGTGTCCCCTATGCATCCTAGTGCTGATATTCAACCATCACACACTGGTATGACCATTTCCCTTGTCAAAGTAGTGACATACTTCTGCTTCGTAAATAGCCTCTAGCACCCTGAGTGTCAAGCACCCAATGTCTAGGTTTCTTTCCCAGCCGCCTCCCCTCCATCCCGTCTGCCATCCAACAATTAAAGCTATAATGCCTGCCTTCACCACAGGCCTCACACTGGCTCTAGTGTCAGAGCTCGAGTCCATTCGATTAGTGAGTGTCGACGCTTTGTCATTGGTTACTTGGTGCAAGGATCACCTCTGTGTTATCCTGTCCCCATTCTCACCACTGTTATTCTAGTTCACATACTCATCAGCTCTTACTCCAGATCACTGCCAGGGCCTTCTAACCGGTCTCCCAACCTCAGCTACCCCAAGTGCACCTCTCACACATGCTGACGAACAGTCATTTTTTTGTCTTTGCTGCTTAAAAATATTAAGGAGCTTTTGAGTACCTTCCAAGGAACATCACAACTCCTTAGCTGGGTTCAGTAGGCCCTCAGCATTCCAGCCTCCACCCACCACGCTAACTCATCTGTTGCTCTCTTTTGCCCATCTCCTGCCCCGGCCCCGCTGGACTAATAGATCCACAGATTGCTTTCATTTTACTAACTCTTCATTAAATATCTGCAATGTGAACACTGGGAGAGTCAAAGACAAAGTCAGACACACACAGACACCTCCCTTCTAATCAAATCTAAAGTAGATGAATCCAGACTGTGGTTTGTAATAAAAAATAATGATTATGAGACAGCCGACACTGAGCATTTAGTGTGAGCCTAGTGTTCAGTACCTTCTTTCATCCCCAGAATGACACTAAAGCGTACAGGATCCTTGAGAATAAGTGGCATAGAGGGTGTGTCACCTTTAATCCTTTGTCATCAAAACACCGTAATGGAAATAAAAAGTGACTGTTATTCCTTCTTGTTCATTTTATATGTTAGGAAATCACAGAGGATAACATGGAAAAGAAACCTCAGGATGTCAGGAAAAGCCCCGCCCGCAGAGGAGTGCCCCCCGTCGTGGGGCTGCTGCTGGCCACGGTCATCATGAACGTACTCCTCTACCTCTGCCTCGATCACTTTTTTATTTCCTCTCAACGTTCCTCCGTGTACCCCAGTCACTGTCCCTATGGTTACTTCAGAATGGGACAGATGAAAAACTGCTCACCGTGGCTGTCCTGTGAGGAGCTGAGGACAGAAGTGAGACAGCTGAAGCGTGTTGGGGAAGGAGCCGTGAAGAGAGTGAGTTTCTGCTTGACCTCTGTGTTACCCCCCAGTGCGAAGGGCGCCCCGTGGGAATGCAGCTTAGCATTAGGTGTCAGGAGCCAACAAAATGTTTCTGCCCCTGAGTCCAGTGATCTCACATCTGGGACTTTATCCTAATAAAATAATCCAACGGAAAAACCAAAGCTAAATGCATAAAAGACTACTTTGTTTTATTATTTATCATTATAGAAAACTGGAAATAATTATTATAGGGGAATGGTTAATTGGATTCCGGTCCAACCACTTGGTAGACTATTCTTTAGCTATTAAGTGTAGTTAGGAACCCATGCAGTGTGAGAAAAATCTTAATGATGATAAGTGAAAAAAGTAAAATACAAAACTATACAATACACTGTTTTAACTGCAAAGTTATGTGTTTGTGTAAAAGATATAAACATGATAGAAAATTGTGCTACGGTGAAAGAAGATTATGGGCATTTTATTCTTATTTTTAAAAACTCTATGATGGTGTTATTTTGATTTTTTAAAAAAGCTTTTTATTTTAAAAAGAGAAACCAAAGGGGTGAATTCAGTTCTCAAATAGAAGCCTCAAGAGCCCTTGTCTTATTGGCAACCAGTTTGTGCTGTATTTTGATGCTTCTTGTTTCTATGGCAACTGAGGCCTACTGATGAAACAAAGAGGGACTCAAAGCCAGTTAAGGCTTGTTGAACAAAGACAGTTCCTTTGTGAGGGTATATGAATGACTGATAGAAGAAAGGGAGGAAGCAGCTTGATAAACTGCCCTTATTTTGGGAGACTGGGCCACCAAGGAAGCTGCTTCCATGAATGTGGAAAGGAGACGTCTTAAAGGAAGAAGTCAGTCAGTGAGAAGGGAAAGGAATTTATATAGAGTAAAACCATAAAACAAGGTAAGTCGTTCTCTTAAAAGTTCATTTATTCATTGTTGTGGGTGCTAGGGAAGGAAACAAAGACCCTTGAAGTTTGCTTTCTAGTTGGGAAGTCAGACAATCAAGAAAATAAACAGTGTGTGATAAAATATGTTTGGGACACGCGCTATGAAGACAAAGCAAGGCAAGCAGCAGGCTTGTTACTCTAGGTGGTCGGAATGATCTGAGAATGAGCTGTGTGGCTACTTGGGGAAAAGAGGCTTCAGGAGGAAAGATGAGTATGAGCAGAGGCCCCAAGGTGGAACATGCCTCGTCGTCTGGGGACCAGGAAGGAGCCAGTGTCCCTACAGGGCAGGATGAGAAGGAGAGGCAGCACATGAGGCCAGAGAAGGGCCTGTGGCGGCGGGTCCTTGGGCTTGGCAGGACTTGGAGAACCGTTGGAGCAATTTGAGTTGAGGGGTGAGGTGGTCCGTCTGTGTGGAGAGTAGACCGAGGCACGGCAAGAGTGGAAGATGGATTAGGCCTTGCGCGTGAGGGATTGTCACAGCTTGACAAGGGTGTTAGCAGTGGCGGAGTGAGAAATCAGTGGATTCAGTCATATTTGAAAGGGAGAGCCAATAGTATTTCCCAGTAGATTGGATCTGGATTATAATGGAAAGAGAGGGTGAATACAAGGTTCTCGGCCTGGGCAGCAGGAAGAACGGGGTTGTCATGACCTGAGGTGGAGACGGTGGAAAGGAACAGATTTTGTGTGTGCATGAGGTGGACACATGAAGGCCATGGAGATGTCCACATGGAAGTGTCACACAGGCAGGTGGTTGGATGTACAACTCTAGCATTTGGGGTGAGGTCTTGGTGGGGGGGATGTAAATTTGGGATGGTGTTGAAAGCAATAGGTGAAAGAAATCACCAGGGAGGGATGTAAGCAGAGAAGAGGACTTAGCGGTTAATTTCTGTCTCCTTCAAAGGGATGACCTTGAGGGGCTGCCCGCTTGCTTCCGTGTTGTTGGAGTTGCTTGGAACATTTTTAATTTCTCTTTTTGGAATTGCTTTTAACCTTGAAGGATAAGTTTTTGAGTAGCTTTGATGGTGGCAAATCCTTGTGGTTTGAGGACAGACTTGATTTTAGGGCACTTCTACAAATCATGCCCATCCAAATATGAGATTTAATAATGTGGGTACTCTGAGGAATGTAATTTTGTTTATTAAAGTGTGACTAAAAGGCTGTTACATTGATACTTTGTGTCTTTGGCGGAAACTTCTCTCAGGGCCAAAGCGTCTTGAGCACTGGCTGTTGTCTGTGAGGATCAGGAACCCCGTCTGTCTTCCCCCATTGAACCTCTCAATGCCTGTGCAGCTCTGGCCCAGTGTCGACTCTCACTGTCCTCCCGATAGGCCCCTAGTGGACAAGCCCCTGCACACAGCACGCTTCCTTCCTCTCCATGTGAGTACCCCTCCTCACTGACACCCCAAGCTGAGAGAAGGGTTCTCAGCAGGAATTTCTGTAACCAGAGCTCTTGATGTCCCACTCTCTGACCCCCACCTCGTCTCCAGGCACCTTTGCTTCAAAAATTCCCCAGTCTCATTGAGACCTCCAGTTATTGACCCCATTACGTTTTCACTTTCTGACACTCTCCTGTCTGCACGCCTTGATTTACTCCGCAGCAGAGATTCCGTGGCCATTATCCTCATCACTCTTGCACAAATGCTGGCAGCAAGTCCCTTGCATTTCTTTCTAACATGGCTGGCTGGAGAGCCCCAAACCTGGTTGACCCCACTATGCATCTGAATTTGAGCACAGCCACGCGGTTGAGTGCATGACCACAAACCTCAGACGTGCAGTCAGCACAGCCCAGTGGGCCTACTCGATTCCCTTAGTAAGTTTTCCTTCCCGTTCTCTGAGACAGATATTTCCTCAACACCCCCAACCCCCGTGGTAACTAATGATCTTGTTACATAAGTTATTATGAAATTAGAAGCCACCCAAAGGGAATTCCCTCATCTTCCCACCGCCAGACCTCTGGACCTTCCAGCTCGAGTGCTGTCCCTGACTTCTCACGGCTTCCCTCTTTTCAGTTACCCCCTCTCTCGTGCATCATCAGTCTTTTCTACTCCGAGGATCATTCCTCATAGCATACAAACACACACTCTTTAAAAAAGAAAACCCTCTTCCCTGACTCCCTCTTCCTCTGGAGCTGCTCTCCGTTCTCTGCTTCCTCTGTAGCAAAACGGCCATAGCGCTTCCCTCCTTCCTCTTCCTCCATTCACCCTTTTGTCCTCTCCCAGGCCGGTTTCCAGACTCCATCACTGCTCTTCTCCAGAGACCAGCAAGCTCCCAGTTGGACGGTTCTGTCTTCCCCTTACTTGATCCTCCTCCCAGCCCTTGAGCCAGCTGATGCCTCCCCTCTCCTTGCAGCCCTGGCCCTGTGAGCTACCGTGTCTTTTTGGTTTTCCTCCTCTCCCTCACTGGCCAGTCCTAATTACTCTCCTTTTCTGCTTCTGTTCCCAATGTTGCTTCCCAATCAGCAGTTCTCAATCAGAGGCAACTCTGCTACTCAGGGCGACATTGAGCAACGAACAGAGACACATTTGAGGTTGTCACACCTGGGGCTTGAGTGGGTGTTACTGGCATCCATCCGGTGGGTAGAAGCCAGATATGCTGCTAAGCCGTCCTACAAGCACAGCACAGCCCTTACCCTCAGCAAATACTATCTGGCCCAAAATGTCAGTGGTACTGAGGCTGAGAAACCTTATTTCTCTTGGTTCCTCCCTGGATCCGCCTCTTTGTCTTGTTTAGATATACTGTTAAGTGATTTAATCTAGTTCTTTTGCTTTAAATACCTTTTATATGCTGGTGATCTCCAAATTTGGATTTGCAGCCTGGCCTTCTCCGCTGAGCCACAGATTTGTATATCCAACTATTTATTCGACATCTCTACTTGGAGGTCTCTAGAGCATCTACGTCCATCCAGTACGGAACTTTTTTGATAATTCCCCCTCTGAGAGCTGTTCTTCTCCCAGCCTCAATATCTCAGTAAATGCCGTCATTCCCACCTAGTTGCTCGAGCCAAAACCTGAGCGTCATCTTGAGTCCTCTCACCCCCTCCCCTTTAACTAAGCCAAGAGCAAGTTCCATCAGTTATATTTTGAATACGTGCCCCAAACTTGTTCGATAACCTGTGTCCTCTGACCCATTTTAGTTAAGTCATTGTTAGCTGATGCCTTGGAACAGTTGTCCCTGCTTCCACTTCTGCCCTTCACCATGCACCTGGCAGAGTCATCTTCTAAACACAGTTCAGATCATGCCACTCTTCCTTAAAACCCTTTTGGGGGCTTCCCATTGCTGTTAGGAAAAAAAGTCCAAGCCTGTTACCATGATCTGCCACACTCAGTGACCTGGGCCCTACCTACTTCCTGAACTCACACCAGACACCCTCACTCCCCACCCTGCAGCCACCCGGTCTTTTTTTTTTTTTTTAAAGATTTTATTGGGGAATTGGGGGAGGGGAACAGCACTGGGGAATCAGGGGAAGGGGAACAGACAAGTTGCTGTCGTTTTTGTTCTTCAGTCTAGTTGTGGAGAATGTTGCTTCACTGGCCCATGTTGGTATCATTGTACTCCTCCTGGGTGAGGCAGATTGGTCGCCAGCCACTGGACAGCTGCTCACAGCGGCTCTTGGCAGCTCACACTGGCTGCCAGCCGCTCACGCTGGCTGCTGGCCACACACAGTAGCTTATGGCAGCCCACTGCGGCAGGGGCTGCAACCTACGCCATCGCTGGCGACCCACAGCAGCCCAGCTCCAGGTCGAGCTGTTGTTCAGCATCTTAGCTGTAGAGGGCAGTGTCACTGGCCCTCATATGTGGGATCCACACCGGGGCCCTGCTGCACAGACCTGGTGTCCCAAGCCAGCTCTTAACCAATGCACCACTCGGCAGGCCCCCTGGCCCTTTCTTTTGTTCCTTGATCAAACAGCCCTTTCTCACCTCAGGGCCCTTTACAGCTGCCTTTCTCTGACTGAAATTCTCTTCCTCCATCTCTGACATGGTCAGCTCTTCATCATCCAGGTCTCAGCTCAGATATCACTTCTCTAGGAGGCATGCCCTGATAGCCACACCATGCACTTCT